AAAAAAAAAAAAAAAAAAAAATTTGGATGGGTCGAGCAAGAACGAGAGCATACCCATAATATACACCAAAATCATTCGAACTCTAGTTATCTCTCTAAAATTTGCCTGACGATTTTCAAGCACCATATGCTTAATTTTTTTTTAATATTTTCATCAGTTGAATAGGTCGAAGGTTGTCTAGAATGACGCATATCTTCAACGATCTCTCGGCCGTCTTTGAAGGCTATGTATTGCTCGTAGGTATTTGGTTTTGATAAAACTAAGTCACCTTTTTCAACATTCGCAATGATTCCGTAAATGACACTATATCACACTGTGTTCAGTTCGCACCAACTTAGAAGATAAAAATGATACCCTCTGAATTACATGAAAATATCTGAGAGATTTACCGATATTTTCGGTAAAAAATTAGGTTAGGTTCAACATAACCTTTGTATGGTAGGTGGGCGTGGTTATTATCCGATCCGAAAAGAATCGACTCTATACAATTGGGTTGACATAGCTATAGTAGTTTTCGAGATATGTACAAAAAAGTTAGTAGGGGGCGGGGCCACGCCCACTTTTCCAACGAAATTACTTCCAAATATGCCCCTCCCTTATGCGATCCTTTGTGCTAAATTTCATTTTAATATCTTTATTTATGGCTTAGTTATGACACTTTATAGGCTGTCTCTTATACACATCTAGATGTGTATAAGAGACAGCATATATACAGATAGACGGACAGACGGACAGACAGACAGACGGACATGGCTAAATCGAATCAGCTCAACATACTGATCATTTATACATATATATACTTTATAGGGTCTCCGACGCTTTCTTCTGGGTGTTACAAACTTCGTGACAAAATTAATATACCCTGTTCAGGGTATAAAAAATGCTATTCAAGTCTAAAAAGTAGCATAATAGGTATACATTGTGACAAAAAAGTACACGGAAATCGTAAATGAAACGAAAAATATTTCATTATTCATAAATACTTATTTTATCGCCTTCAAAGTAATCCCCATTAGATGAAATATGCTTATGCCAACGACTTCTTAGTCCTCGAAACACTTTTCAAAAGCACTGTATGAGATGACCTTCAGCTCCTTCAGTGAACTTTGTTTAATCTCTGCAAACAAGTTCCGCGGAGTGGCAATTTCTATTTGGGGAGCAAAAAAAATTACACGGGTCCAAATTTAGTGAATACGGTGGTTGATCGATGGTATTCATTGCGTTTTTGCCTATAAGTTTTTTCACAATCGTGGCTTAATTCGATGGTGCATTATCGTCGTGTAAAATCCATGAATTGTTCTTCCATATTTTAGCCCGTTTTCGAAGGATGTTTCCAGGTAAATGCCTCAATATGGCCATATAGAACTCCTTATTGACTGTGTGTCCTTCCGAAACAAATTCACGATGCACCAAACCATTAATATCGAAAAAAAATCTATGAGCTTTTATTTTTGAGCGGCTTTGGTGTGGTGTTTTTGGTTTCGGCTCGTTTTTTCTCTATATTCTGATGATTGTTGACTTATTTTCATGTCCAACTCATAAACTCACGTCTCATCGGCAGTTATAATGCTATCCATGAATGTGGGATCGGATTCACAATATGAGAAATGTCTAAAGATATCTGTTCATCATACTCTTCTT